TGCTCCGGACTTCAACATTCATCCCAAATTAAAGTTTTAAAACACTATAAAAGATCTCTATAAAAGTAAAAAACAAACAGGTACCAGGAAATAAGCAGCAGAAGCTCCTGGCATGTGTTGGTTCCTACTTGACCTTGCTCTATATTCATTGTCCAACAGGTATAACAAGAAGTGCCCAGTGGCACCTCCAGGGTGCGGGAGGGACATCCTGGCCCACCTCCCACACCAGCACTCACAGATGCTCCCAGACACACTCACACAGGGATGGAGTCTCAGCAGGCTCCCCTCGTGACAACTGCAAATGCTCCAAGTGCCAGCACACAGAGGAAAGGGCAGGAGGTCAGTGATGGGGGGCACGTCCCCCCACATCTCCATGGAAATCTATTTCAGCATTGCCCACGGCTGTGCAGGGTCTTGCAAGGTCTGCAGTGTTTTAGGGATGTCAGAAGGTTGAGCAGGACAAGTGCAAGGATGCAAAGGCTGTCAGGTTATTTCTGACCAAAACCCATTTACAAGCTGAACAGCTATTTATAAGTACATAAAAATAATATGAACTTAACCTTACATTTACATTCTTGTTTAATTATATTATGCTCCTCTGAAAAAAGATTTAAATATGATTACTGGTCCATTACTGAGTTTGGAAAGCCTTGGGGAGCAGTATAGAACACATACAGCCATCTGTAATCTGCTCACGCAGATGTGTGAAAATCAAAGACAAAACTTGCTGAGGTAACAAAAATGTCTTAATTCAATTTGTAATGCAGCAGCACAATCCCTGCGTAACAACATTAAATTTGTCTAAGAATATGGGCTTAAATATCCTCTTTGTTGAGGCAGTTCCCACGTGCTCCCTGTGATCCAGGCAAGCAGACAGGAGGTGAGCAAAATATAAAGAGTTGCAAGTTTCAGCTGGCCAGGAAAGACTCATGCCAGACAGTGACAGATCTGCTCAGATGGGAACATCTGCTGCTACTGCTGAGGATACCAGGAATGCTTGGACCAAATCTATCCTATAAAAGGTTGGTGGATCTATGCCACAGCTCAGGACAAACTTACTAGTGCAAGCATGGTTTGCTCAGGGAAAAGCCCTCACATGCCACTGTAATTTACACTGAGCTCTCAAACGAAATAAATTAAACCAGGGCAATGGATCTACACTAAGGCAATCGCCAGGACAAAGACTGCTACCAAAAAAAGGGCAGGTTTCTGGCTGATTTGTTACAGAAGAGAAAACCAAGAGCTAACCTGGCTTGAATATAACTGCTCGGGGATGCACAGCAGCATCACCTTGAGCCAAACCACACTTTGTCCTGTGGCAGTTTCTTCCTGAGGAACCCTCCTTTTCTCAGGCTCGGGAACATACCACAAGATGTTAGAGATATGCAGGGAGACTTCTGTGCTTTGTAAATGGCAGGATTTGCTCCAGGGGCACACACAGGGATTAGATAAACCTGTACACATAAAGGAATTCTGTAGGAATTCACACAACCGCTCCAGACCTCATGGGCCTGAGAGAGCTACAAACCACTTGGCATTAAGCAGTTGAGGCAAAACCTCAAGAATGAAATTACCACAAAAATAAAAATTCTTACTGGTCCCAAGACTGAAAATTTGAAAATTAAACAAGCCTTTTTTATTTTTCTGTACTTGCAGAAGCCACTCTGTGAATCAGACAATCAGGTGGGACCATGACACCAATAACACTTCCAATGTGTTTCTGTGACCCTTCATGCCTTTTTTTTCTCTCCCCACTGAAGCTGCTATCTTTGAGATGCATGGATAATCCAGTTGCCAAATAACTAGTGGGAAAACACACCACTATAATTTACAAGTGTCCTACTCATAACCAGTCAGCCAAAGAGCTTCCATGCAAAACTAAAAAACAGGTAACGCTCCTCTCTCCGTGGCTGCACAAATCCTTCAGCACACACAGACTGCTCACACCCAACCACCCCCTCACAAAGTCCATGCCTACTTATTTTCCTACTCACACCCTAAACTAGGCATTCATGCAAACCCTACAGCTTCTGAACTCGCCCACCAACTTGCCCACAGCCACAGCACATAATGGGACAGGCAGACACTGCAAACAGCACAGCAACTCATACTTCCACTGCTTCACTTCAAGTTTCACGTAAATGATTGTTTTTATTCCAAGTTTTACTTCAGAAAGTACTTAATGGATTTTTCTGAGCTTTATATTGGAACTTTACAAATGAGAGCAATCTGAATCAATTGGCATTTGGAGAGTGAAACAGCTTGTGGTACCAGAGCTTTGGAATCAGCTACCCTTAAAATACAGGGGCAGGAAATGCTTGTGTCCCCTGCAATAACTGTTTATATAGAGGCCTAAACTGATTTTCTTTGAAAAACCAACACTCAAAATAAATGGGAGCTGCACAGACTAGGTACAAGGTGGAGATTGATTTCAACTCCAAAAAAAGCCACTGTGTTTCCTTGGCTGGGAACACAATGCTCCACCACTGGCAACCTACCTGACCAACCCTACCCAATGTGAAGAGCAGCTGGACTAAGAGAGAGATCCTGGAGTGATAAAAAGAAGAGAGACAGGCAGCAAGTAAAAATTAGGCTCTGCAAAGGTAGGTAATACAAATGTGTTTCCTAATGTGCCATGCAAGAACTAGGTACACGTATTTTTGGTTCTTTACATCTTGAAAGCCTGAGGAGAAGACATGAGTAAGCTTAAAAAAAAAAAAACCCTCACACTTAATCATATTTATATATTAATGCATGTAACCTACTTTCACACATAGTTAATGAGTTCCTTCTCATTAGTTCAAATCTCATGATTTGAACCTGAACAATTCTGAGTTTAAAAAAACCACAACTCTAATGACTACAAGTTTTGTTGCTAATGTAGTTGTGTCTGGAGCTCTTATTCCTCACACACAATTAACCCATGTTTCCCCAGTACATTTTTCAGAGATTAACAAAATGCAAAACTTAAAGATGAAATTCTGTGAAAAGGCTCTTCTCTATAGGATAACCTACAGTATCTTTTAGTTAAGCATTTTTTTCACTGTAAAAATTTTGACATTTTCTGTAAACTCATCCTGCTGTGGCAGTAGAACAGCAGTTTTTCCAAGGACATGACCTCTTCCCACCGACAGCAACTCTTCTGAAACCTAATGTCAGGCATATGGTCATCTAAAATGTGATGCCAAATGACCTAAAAAGCATTCAGGCATTTTAAAGAGTATGAATCAATGGCTCATTTCTATTTCACATCTTTGATTTCTTTCACCAGTCTTCCAAACATGCTTCTCAAGACAAGCAGTGACGAAAAATTATTAGTAATACACAGGCTCCACCACGTCCTTTTTGTAAATTCTTGATGATCTTCCTTCTGTGTGCATTTTATTTCATGCTATATCTCAGCTCTGCTAGCTCAGTCAGTGCAGAGAACTGTTTACTTAAGCCTGTGCATGATCACTGCTATTTAAAAGTTATTCACCAGCCTCATATTCTATTTATTTTTAGTTTATTTTTGTACTTGAGGATGTTGAAGTTGTACTACAATGGTCACCCAAAATAATGTATTGCCTAAAAGCAGATTATATGACACTGCAGAAGATTGCATGTTTTCAGACTGTAGCATAAAGAATTCCCATTCTCACCTAGCAAAAAAATGCAAATTTTATGACAACTTCACAGGAAGCAGCAGCTGGAAAAACTGTCCAAACAGTAGAAAAAGTCTGCTACAGATTTATGTTTATAATCCTGTGTTTAAATGATACTGAAGGTCTGCTCCTACTTTACACATGAAAACAAAACAAATGCCTTTATTACCTGCAAATGAGTGGACCTAAAAACCCTTTGAAATTAACCACTTATATGTTTTGTTTACCCACTCTGACATGCAGACATGTACCATAACACCTCTATATTCTTTTCACCTGCTGTCACTGGACTTGTCAGCACTGAGCATGATGGGGTTCAGACTGGTGTCAGCAGGACTTTGCACGACCTGGCTTTCCCTGCACACACAGCCCAGGAGCAGCGTTTGCCAGGCTGAAACCATGACTGTGCTAATGCAGCTCGTCCTCGCCGGCACTCGCTGTCAGTGGCACAGTTCTGACTGCACATGCTGGTGACAGCCCTGCCAAGAGCTGCCAGCGATCCTGGCACGGCCAGGCTCTGTCCCTCTGGCAATTTCCGAGTGATGTTCTTAGATGCTGTGGGGGCACAAGCGATGAGGTGACAAATCCGTATTTTTATTTTTTTAATTTAGAAGCCGGCATACTTCAGAACCCATGACCACCACCTGGAGCCCTGTCTAGCTAAAAGACATTAAGGAAGAAAAAAAAAATGATGCTGAAGTGCTGACTCGGTGCGGCCGAGGGACACACAGAGCCCAGCCCTCACAACGCCCTGGGATGCTGCCCCTGGGCCGGACCTCCCTCACCATCCTCACACTTCACTCTTTAGGGGTTACTTGTTCACACCAGGCGCCTGCAGCAATGAAGTTGTTGGGGTATTTTTTTTCCCTGGTGGGTGACACAGACTCTGAGAGCTGGAAAAGCAGCGGTGTGATGCCGAGAACACCACGGAGGGGCCCGCGGAACCGGCCGGAGGCAGGGAAGGAGGGAGGGAAGGAGGGAGGGAGGGAAGGAGGTGCCCCAGCAGCTGCTCCCACAGAACCACAGAATAGCTGTGTTGGAAGGGAGCTCTGGAGATCACCCAGTCCAGCTCCTCTGCCAGGGCACAGGACAGGAGCTCCTACCTGGAGCAGGTGACACAGGAACGCGGCCAGCGGGGCTTTGAATGTCTCCGGAGAGGGAGCCTCCACACCCTCCCTGAGCGCTCGGGCCAGCTCCGGGCCGAGGCGCAGCCGGGGTCCGCAGACCCCCCCGCCGGCCATCCCGACTCCTTGGCCCTCACAGGCGGCGGATCCCGCTCCTTACATAACCCCGGCCCCGCTCCCCGCAGCGCGGCCCCTCCGAGCGGCCGCCCGGGGGCTGCGGGCCCGGCCGTACCTGATGTAGGGGCTGGCGGCCGCCAGGATGTTCTTCTGCACCGGGATCTCCTCGCCCTCCAGCACCAGGTGCGCGTCGCAGAACCGCGTCTCCTCCCGGAACGAGCTGAGCGCCCGCAGCAGCCGCGCCGGGTGCTGCGGGTCCGACACGGCGCTCGGGCCCGACATGGTGCTGCTGCCGCCGCCGAGCCGGGCCGGGCCGGGCCGGCTCAGTCCCTGCCCTCACACCATGGCTGAGCGCCCGCCCGCCGCTGACATCATCTCCCGGCATCATCTCCCCGCGCCGCCCCGCGGGGGCGGCCCGGCCCGGCGGCCCTCGGGCACCGCGGGCCCGCCGAGATCTCGGCTTTGTCTCCTCACGGCTTTGGAATGTCGCTAAAGGGGGTCCAGAGAAGGGAACGGAGCTGGGGGGGCTCAGCCTGGAGAAAAGGAGGCTCAGGGGGGACCTTGTGGCTCTCCCTGGCAGGAGCAGGGAGCCGCGGCGGGATCAGACTCCTGTCCAGGCATCGAGCGACAGGACAGGAGGAAACAGCCCTAAGCTGCGGCAGGGGAGGTTTGGGTTGGACATTCGGAGAATTTTATTCCCAGAAAGAGTGGTCAGACATCGGAACGGGCTGCCCAGGGAGGTGGTGAAATCACCATCCGTGGAGATGTCTAAGGAAAAGACTGGAAGTGGCACTCCACGGTCTGGGTGACACGGTGGTGTTTGGTCATAGGTTGGACTCGATGATCCCAGAGGTCTTTTCCAATCTAATTGATTCTGTGATGCCGTAAAACTGGCCTTTTATTTATTTACTTGTTCCCTAATATGAGCTGGGGTGAACGTTACGGGTGTAGACACAAGGAAAAGTAAGAGAATGAGAATTAAATACAGCAAGACTCATTGTGGCAGTGTCCCTTTCCACGGCTGCCCACTGGAAATGTGGCCTTTTCCAGCAAAAAAGATCTTTAGGACAGTTCTCATGGCAAATTTTAGGCCGTTTATTATTGTGCTTAATGGCACATTAAGAGATTACTTGATTCCATCTGCTTTCTTAACAGCATCCAACATTAAAGTAGTGAAACTATTTGCACTGAGTGAAAGTGTTTCACAAACTGTGATCTGCTCTAAAACAGACACCCAGCTGGTGCTGCTGGGAGGGACCAGCACAGCAGCTCACTGTGCTCCCTGTGCTGACAGGCACTGGCATCTCCCAGCCCCTGGAACACCCAAATGGATGTCATGCTGCCCATACCTTCACTGGGAATATAACATTTTCAGAGGGTCTCATCTAGTAAAGCTGTGGTGGGTCACATGCTTTTATTACTTGCATTTCAGTGAAATGTGAAAAAATGCTATCATTTATTTGGTTTGATGGTGTCTCCAAATCATTTTACCTCTTGGAAAATGAAGCAGGTTATCTGGAAAAGATCCTGTAGGAAATGAATGCCTTGACAAGGCTGCCTTGTTCTTTCCAAGCTGGACACAGTGCTGGTTTGTTGTGCAGATGGAAACTGCAGCTGGGACATCCTCACACATCACCCAGCAGCCCAAACCCTGCACCTTCACCCAGGGTGAAGGGTGGGCTCAGCCCTGCTGGAGCCTTTGCAGCTGAGCCCTTGCTGAAGTTCCCTGCCTGGAGAAGAGTCACAGGCAGGAGCACACTGCTGCAGCTTTGTTGTGCAGCTCTGAGCAAGAGTTTTAGGAGCAGAGGATGTAGGACAGAAGGCCAAACCCACAGCAACATGCATGAAACACCAGTGGCTCTGCAACACTTGTTGTACATACCCATTTACAAATATTAGAAGGCCACTTTTTTCTTGCTTGGGTGTAATTATTCAGGATGTCAGGTGTAGGTTGAGGAACCAGAGGACACATTCTCAGCTCTCTTTGAGGGTAATGAAGGCAGCACACTGCTCCTTGGCTGCAGGGGAAAAGATGTATTTTGCTTGTCATTAAAACTCAGGTAATTGCAGACACAAGGGAGCAGTGGTTTAAATTATTGCGAAAGCTGTCATTGAGTGGCCTGGTTATTTGAAAAGAAAGACACTGGTGTGTTCCCCTGCCACCTGCACAGATTGGTACAGAGGAAAACATTGTTGCATTTCTGGTTTTTAAGGCGTCCTCGTAAACACTGTTTCTGCTTCCTCCTGTGCCTATGTGGGGCAATGGGAAAAGGTGTAAGAGATAATATCCAGTTCCAGAGAACAAATTCATTGCTATACCTTGTTATTTGTTCCATTTAATGAAAGTGTTTAAAAAAAAAACCCCACCAAACCAAAACAACAACAAACCAAACCACTCTATCAAGGTCCATTTGTAGCATCTCTGAGGTAATTAATTATATGTATGCATACCCGTGGCCTGATTTACTCAACTATGTATTTTTCTTTTAATGGAGATACTTATCTTTACTATTTTTTATTTGCTGTCACTCCATCTAGATTTGTGTTAAGCCGTTATTATAATAATTCCATTAATTTTGTTGGGCTAATTCATGACTTAAATTGGTGCAAAAGAAGAATCAAACCTTTCTGGCCCTTGAGATTTCATTCACAGCAAAGGGTGTCAGAAGCAAACCAAATGACACTCATTACCACGTGCCATGTTACCACATCAAAAAAACCCCACGAGCCTTGCAGCCACTTGGCAAAGCATATCTGCATTTCCCCTTGCTTCTGTCAGCCTGGAAATGATAGTGTGTTACCATATTCAGGGTAAATGTTTCATCAGATTGGTATTGCAACCACTAAAAACACCTTTGAACAAATTTGTGATTAGCTGTATGGTTTTATTCCTATCCTATTGTCTCTGCTGCAGGAGGATACTGGGATTAGCAAATGCAGATTTACTTCACTGTTTTTCTCCTCAGGTTAACTACAAACTTAATGCAAATCAAATCCTGTGTAGTACTGACCAAGGGAAGAGGGCACATCTCATTTAAAAAATCATACCCAAGACAAATTCTTATCATTTATTTATTTCTACATGAATGTAAATAACACATTTGCTTTCTTTGACTACAGGTTGTTTTTATGATGAGTGTATCCCCTATCCTGTCATTTCTACCAGTAAAAATTATCTCCTCAGAAGTCAAGCAACTCCTGTATCCAAACCCATGATTATCCAAAAACAACCCTGTGAGTACTACAGAAGAAATTCTAGAGACAAACTCTTAGAAGAAAATCTGTAATAATGGTTAGACTTTTGATTCACTGCCACCTTTTAATTCTAGAAATGTATTTGTGGACCTTTGCTAAATCCAAAATTATTCATATGAAAAGAAACAACCCCAGAGCTGAAGTTTTTGGACAATATTGCAAGTCAGTCTTCTCTTCCAGTACTGGGTCCATATTATTTACAAAAAGGGAATTAAATTTCTTCTTTAGAAGATAAAGTTCTATTAAATAATAATGGTAATATGACTTGAAAACACTAAAAGTGACTATTTCTGCACACACCTTACTGAAGTGTTTATTTCCATTTTATGGAACATGTAAACATTTGAATGCCCAAACCTGCATATTTTAACTAGATCTGACCACAGTGTTGGGTTTGGTTTTTTTTTTTTTTACATTAAAAATAGCCTGTATATCTGTATCCTAACAAAGTGCAAAGACCTGCAGAGGAACAGAGGTCTGGTTGTTACAGAGCAGACAGGAGCTGTGGATGATGTTGCTTCAGTTCCTGCTCTGCCACAAACACGTTAAGTAATCACAAACAGGCCACCAAGCACAGATTCTCCTGTGCTGGGGAGGTAATAAATGACAACAATTTCATTCTGTTTCCTTCCTATGAAACACTGTGAGCAGCACAGGCACCGAGGGGATGTGTGTGTCAAAGTGAGAGGTACCTGAGCTGTGTGGTGATACAGACAGACCAGATGAACACCTGAAATGGATGGATGTGCACCTGGTTTTCTTCATCAGTAAAGATGCCTCCAACAGCAAAGATATCTACAATGAGAAAATAAAATTCAAAGCAAAAATGCTCTCACTTAGAGAAAAGCCAATAACTCAAATTAGGAATACAGTGGTAGTGAAGGGGGGATGGTGAGAAATGCCATTTCTGTAACACAACCTGTGTCACACTGTGCTTGGCACTTGAACATAATGTTGAAATGTGCATTTTAAGTGACTGTGAGTCAGAGTTGTGCACCTTTATTAGGAAGCATCTGGTACAGGCAAGGATAAACACATGTGAGAACTTGGGTGCTCCTAAGCAGACATAAAGCAAATGCTTAGTTATGGCAATAACAGCTTCTAGTTTCAGCTACTGTGGGCTTCAGATGAGGCCTAAATTAGATCTTTCACTCTTTCCCTAAACTGTTTGTTGCGCATGTGTGTGAGTTCTGCTAGGCATTCACTGCCCTCATTCACATACACACTGCTATCAACAGAGAGTAGTGGCAATAGCAAATACTACAATTCTTATCTTTTACACAATGTAATCATCTAATTACACAAAATGCCATGGCAGATATTCTGCCCAAGGAAAACTGATTTAAATACAAACTGCTGAAGATTGAATGTCACTAAAGAATGCTACATATAACCATGTACTCTATTTCCATAAAGTTACTTGGTTTTGTCAACATAAAAGCTAAAAATACACCATGAAATTATTAGAAAAGCTGGGGGGAGGGGTTAGGTTCTAGGTAAGAAAAATGTAGCACCTCAGCATAATACTTTGGTTATGGTAGAGTTTAAGAAATCAAGCACCAAGAGAATACATTGCCATAAATTATTGGTATCATGGTAAATAGTTTAAGATGAGGTTTTCTGGCAGGAGACAACTTTCATTGTCAGCTGAGTCTTGCAACAGCCCATGGAAGTTACATGACCTGCAGACATGTGTGACTCATGCCATGTGTCACCCTATGAATACAGTCCTTCATTTGCTCAGAAAGCTTTGCTCTACTCAAATAAAACATTTCTTGTTATCTTTCTCTCCTATTCCTTGTCCCACAAGCTGTATTCAACATTAGCACTTCATACTGAAATTCTCCTTTTGGAATAGTGATGTACCATTTGTGCACACAATAATTTGTAATAAAGTAATTTCTGTCTCTTTTAAGAGATTATATGTAGATATTGAGGATGTTATAATTATCATTTCTTATCATAAGAGAAGGCTGTTCCTGAAGGATATTATCCCACATTCAGTAGAAGGTTATGTCAGTCTGTGCAATACAACAAATAGATTTTACTCAGTCTCAGTTTTCATGTCTTGCTGTGGTATAAATATTCCATGCAGGTCC